GATCTCGTGCATACGTTTCTTGAATTCTTCATTATTGACGCATCCAGCTTCTCCATGCAGCCGTTTACTCCCCCCCCCCCCCCCTCCTTCGCGTACACACAACAAGCTTGATGAGTGGTGCTAGCCTGGAGGACGACGCAGCGGCGCTGCAGCGCGGGTGCGCGACGCGCGCGGGCGAGCTGCTGGCCAGCGTGGAGCAGCACGCGGCGACGGGGTTGCGTGAGCTGGAGGCGCAGCTGGAGGCGGTGGGGCGTGCGCTGGGACGCGCGGAGCAAGAGCTGGAGCAGGAGCAGAAGCGCGTGGACAAGGCGTCGGAAGCCGCGCACCGGCTGTACGCCGCCGCCGCGCGCGAAGGGGTGGAGCTGGTCGCGGCCCCGCCGGAGGCCGCGGGGGAAGGGGCCGCGGGGTGACGCCTCTAGGTCGCATGAAGGGTGCCGCCCTGGCCCCCCTCGATTCTATTGCAGTACCAACGGTAACGCATCGTCCGTCAAGCAGATCGATCCACTTCTCTTATCCCTCCCCACGAGATAGAACGTGAAACGTGTCCACGTGAGGTATGACACACTCTTCACATTCCACGACGTAAACGTGTCCACGTTCGACATGTGCATTGCTGTACCCATTCAGGCAGTGTCGTACCCTTTCAACCCGCCTCCATCTCCGCCTCCATTTCCGCCTCCATTTCCGCCTCCATCTCCGCCTCCATCTCCGCCTCCGCCTCCGCCTCCGCCTCCGCCTCCGCCTCTCCACTCCCCATCCCGCCTCCACACCACTCCGTCATGCAATCGCTACGCCTCGCGCAGTTCCTTGCGCTAGGCTACGCCCAGTTCGGGTCGCGCGGCTACCTTGCTAACGCGCGCGATTTCACGCCGTCCGCCCTGTCCGTCGACCTGTCCGACCGCCACTACGTCGTCACCGGCGCCACGTCCGGGCTCGGCCGCGTCACGGCGGAGGCGCTGGCCGCGCGCGGTGCGCACGTGCACCTGCTATGCCGCGATGCGGCGCGCGGCGAGCGCGCTCGCGCCGCCATCGCGCGCGACACGGGCAACGCCAACGTCACGCTGCACAAGTGCGACGTGTCCAGCCTGGCCGACGTCGCGCGCTTCGCGGCCGACTGGGCCGCCGCCCCGCGCCCCATCGCCGCGCTCGTCAACAACGCCGGCACCATGATCCACCGCGTGGAGCGCTCGTCCGAAGGCCTGGAGATGGGCTTCGCCACCAACACGCTCGGCCCGTTCGCGCTCGCCGAGATGCTGCGCCCCAGCCTCCACGGCGGCCGCGTCGTCACCGTCAGCTCCGCCGGCATGCTCACCCAGCACTTAGAGGTCAAGGACTTGGAGGGGAAGGCCCTTACGAATGGAGATGTTATCGATGGGCCCTCCCAGTACTCGAGGTGTAAGAGGAGGCAGGTCGCTATGACGGAGAGCTTGGCGCGCCACGACAGCAACGGCGTGTTCTGGGCCTCGGTGCATCCCGGCTGGGCGGGCACTCCAGGCGTACGTTAACCCACTCCCCGTTCATCGCCCACCGTATTCTGCGAGTGCATGCTTGCTGACACCGTTTGTTTGTTTTTGCCGCGGCAGCTGGAGAAAGCCATGCCGGACTTCTTTAGGTTTACAAAGAACCAGCTCCGCTCCGAGGAGCAGGGCGCGGACGGCATTATCTACCTCGCCATCTCCGACGAGGCCCTCACGTATCCCAGTGGCGAGTTTTTCTTCGACCGCCGCCCCGCCGTGAAGCACCTCTGGTTCGCCGGCACGCAGTACCCCGACGAGCAGGCAGACGCCCTCGTCAATCGCCTGCGCGATATCATCCGCGAGAAGGGCTATGACCTGCCCAAGTGATTCGGCGAAAAGCTCCGTCGACGCGGCTCAGCGGCGCCGACGCCAATTTTGGATTGCGCAGGGCGCCGAAACGGCGCGCCTTCGCACGCTGTCGTTGGACGCTTTCCTAGCTTGGATGGAGGAAACGCGGCGGTCGGGCAGTAGCAGCTGGTTGCGTGGGCTGTTGCTTGTGATGAAAGCGCAGTGGAAATGTGTTGAGGCCACGATGCCGGGCGTCTCTCTTTTCCTGCGTAAAGTTTTCCTAAACTATGCAGAGAGGCCTCGAGACTTTGCGGGAGAGATTACCATCTTGCACGATGGAATGCGGCGTGCAATTTCCCTTCGACCTGCGGTCAACCAAGTCCAAGTGGGCGGCATGCTTAGCCTTTGGATGCCAATCCGCCAGGGCGGGCGCATTTAAATACTATGCTCTCATTTTCGTATACTGAGATAGAACGCCCCTCGATTGTACTCGAAGGGCCTCCCGTATCTGCTTGACATGTTCTTCAACCACAAACGTCTTCTTCCGGAAAATACTGGGGGCGGTGGCGTGTAGCCGCCCACAAGCTGAAATGCGCACAAACTCTCCGCAAACATGTAATCGTGAACCCGGAACACCCTCGCCGCCCCGTTACTCTTTACCCACTGATCGTTCGACTCGAACCCCAGCTCCACCTTATCACTCAAATTGCTCGCCACCCTGATCCCCAATGCGGAGTTGGTCAAGTCCTCCAACACGGCCCCATCATACCCGCTCACGCTACAAATCTGGTCAGTCGCCCATCCCTCGTTCTCGCCCTTCATCACTTCTCGGAATATGTAAAAATAACGCTTGTCCAAGTCGCCCTTGTTAATCACGTTTTCTGTGCGTGTGCCGCATGAACATGCCGTCCTCCTCCATCTCCTCCATCTCCTCCATCATGTCCTCGCCCTTCTGCGGCAGCAGGATCACCCCGCGTTGCCCCTCTTCCTCGTTGAAATGAACGCAAAGTCCCCCTTGTGCGACACCTCGACCAGCAGCTCCATCGTCCGCGCGTCCTTCACCAGCAGCAATATCATGTAAAACGGCACGGAGAGACGGCCGACGCTTGACGTGGTGGTAGAAGGTTTTTTCTCGTGGAGACGTACCCGAACTTGGGCTCGTACCCTATCAGGTGCTCGGGAGATGGGCCATGCTCGTGGTCGTACACATTGTTGTGGTCATACGCACGGTCATGGTCGAGGAAAGAAAAAAAATGTCAGAATCTCAAGAATCTCAAGAATCTCACGATTATAGATGGCAAATAACAGCCACAACAGCAACAAACTGCCCATAGAAAACGTACCACCAGTAACAAGGGTCGCACATCGCGTGCAAAGTCACCCGCAGGGTTGTGCCCCAAAGCCTTGGGGCACGTGGCATTGGGCTGGACCACCCCGGAACGCCGGGAACGCCCACCGCTTCAATGAAGATGGCACATCTCAATTGCAGCGGTGGGCAATCCGGGGTTGAACAAACCTGCGCGCAGGACAGTCTCAAGAAACCAGATTACCCAAATGAGTAGAGGTCAAGCACACTGTGTGGGCAACAGGAGTGGTCGTACATCAGAGTATGGTAGCGTAAAATGGAGTAGGGAAGAACCAAAAAATGTCGTAGTGGGAATTGGATATGTAATAATTAAACTTACGCACTCTCGCTAAAGATGTTTGCTTCATTTATTCGGTTTCTCTTGCAACTGCTTGCGTCGCATTCCTCAAACGAAGATATGCGACAACTTATTGTACCGTAGTTGACAGTCACCGGGAATCTGCGGCTCTCATTTTCGTAACCTGACACAGAATGTCCTTCGGGTGCAGTCGGAAGTCCCCTATACTTGCTTGACATATTCTTCAACCAGAAATGTCTTTCGGAAAGTTGTGGCGAACTCCTGAAATCGGCGTTGGTTCAGGGGCACACACTGCATCGCCCTAAACCAGTTTCCGCTTCATGCGTCTTTGTTTTAATTGAAGAAAATGCATGTTCCCCGCATGCTCCCCACAATTCAGTTTTGTCCATTCCCAATCCCAGGGCCATCCCTGGGTTAATCTCTAGTCTCTTTGTTTATGGGCAGAGCAAGCATCGTAATTTGCTGCCTTCGAGGAAAACCATTGAAACTGTTTTTGAGGGATCAACCTTCAGGCTCCACTTTTGCGTCGCAGCCATGGGTTTCCGCTTTCTTTAAAAGTTGAAGTTGTTTGTGCTTGACCTGAGGTCAAGCACAAACAACTCCAACTTTTACACACAGATGCATTGTTGAGATCACACACTGCGCGCTCGATGGCTTCTACGTACTGTCGATCGTACGGACACACTTGATACATCTCCGTCAGCTCACATTCTTTTCTTGTCTAAACGTCTTTCTGGACGTGTATCATATCAGACACATGCGGATCAATTCCACCAGTAGTTTAGCATACTTCATTCATGATCCCTGCGACACATACCCGTCCACGAATCCACTGCTTCATAATACTCATCGCGCCTCAACACAAATCCGTGCTTTAACAAACTGCAGAGTTGTTTCCCCGCCAGCACCTCGCTGTAACATCATCCCCGATACAGAGTTGGTGAAGGCAAACCTCAGCACACCATGATGTCCGCCCAGGCTGCACATTGAGTTGGTCGTCCATTCCTCATACTTTCCCCTCATCAAGCTTTTTGCGCCCTTGTTCGAAAACCGCTCGTCCATGTTGCCCTCGTTAATCACATTCACGATCCGCTGCCGGAACACGCAATTCTCCACACACTCCTCCATTACCTCGTCATCCTTTTCTTGCAGCAGTACCACTCTGCGTCCTCTCTTTCTCGCTAAACTTGGGTTCACAGGCCTCCAGGTGTTTTGGGAAGGAGCCGTGACCGTGGTCGTATGCGTTGGTATGTATGATCGAGGGAAGAAAACTTGAGAATCACGAGATTGCACCAATGATGGCTGATAACAAATGCAAAACTTTCGTTGGCAAAAACCTTCCACCAGAAGCAAGAGTCCCTCATCGGGCGTCTCAAGCAGCTCATTTCTTCCCCTCGGTGTCTTCATCCAGGTCATCAGTGTTATTCCGTATGCAGGTACGAAGCTATCGCGAAATTAGAAGAGAAAGAAAGATCTTCAGATGCGGAAATATTTGCAAGGTGATTATCGATTCAGTAGCGTGGTTTCCAAGAAGGTGAAGGCCTTGGGGGTTTCTCCTTCGTCCTTGATCCAGTACGGACCTCTGTTTTCGCGCCACCACGTCAAGAGATAGCAGAAAGAGCGCATCTGGGCGAAGGATCCTATGTATCGCATCAAGGAATGGAGGCACATTACATTTTTCTGCAATCACTTTTGCCGCCTTTTTCATGCCACGCAATACGATAAACCCTCATATGAAGTCTGTTCTCAGCGTGGAGCACCGCTTTCACGTGTAGTACCGCAGGTGTGGTCTGGCCTTATAGTGCCCTTGGTGCTGCAGGGGTAGACGTCACCAGCGGTACGACTAAAGGGTACTTTACCTGTGTCTGGAGCACATCTGGATTCTGATGAAAAAATTTCTCGTGGTTGACACAAGCGTTTTGCATTCAGTTTGGACCACAACGGAAAGAACCTTTTACTAGCATCCTGTGCAGGTGCTTAGTGACATTCTACCGTCGTCTGTTCACGAATTGGCTCTATCCCTCACTGCTTCAAGTCATCATCTGCATCGCTGTCTACTGTGCAACTAATGATATGTTGATGAAACTGGGGAAGGGTTTCTTCAACGAATCATTCGTTAGTAAGTACAGTAGGACGTTAAATGCTTGAGCACGATGCGGGAGGCGTTGTAAAAAAACGGACGGTGTCAACAGATAGCCGAGGCTTGGTGCCTTTCATGGTCCGTGACAATTGGAGGAAGGAAGCATAGGTAAGTAAACATATCACTGCTGTGAATGCTTTCTATTGCACTCTGAAGTTTCGCAAGCTTTTCTATATATCCAAAGATGTCCGTGCTTTGTTCTGATCTGAGTTTTCTAGAGGAGAAGGCCGCTTTTGTGATGGACAGATAAGAATCGATACAAAAAGGTATTAATAAAGGGCCCGCTGGTATTACGCACCAACTTTGTGAAAGATTTACACAAACGTATTTTTCTTGTACTTTGCTTGGCTCCTTTATTCTGACTATCGTCACTATCGTCGTACTCATAGTGCTCTTCATGCCCTACAATAAGTATTGGGCATCACAAAATTGATTAACAACAAACTGTTGCCGGTGAATAAAGCTAACACTGTGGCAATGGACAATGGAGACGCAAATGTCGGCTGAACTCGAGGCATCTCGTTGACTCCTCTCTTGATGTATGAGGTCCATAAGATTGGAGGATATCTTGGTATTTCAAATTATTTCCGCTAACTACAATAGAGGGTTTTGGCATTCGGTTCGTGGGACAATTTATTCGCTACTGTACTATCCCACAGCGATACGGAAATAAAAAATACATGCCGATTTGGCAGAAAAGACAGCGATATTCTTCGCTAAAGCGGAGTACGAGCCACCCGAAAGGGCTCGGACTCCATCTGTGCAACATGCGCATCCGCGACGCGACAATTTCGAAACACCGGAGTCGCTCTACGGAATCTTTCTTTCTCGTAGTGCGCTGCCGCAAGGCGTTGCTCAGCAACGCACTTACCTGCTTCTTCCTTCGCCATGTGCTATATGCGGAGGAGGAACAGGCTCTTAGCCGCGAGCGACGCATTCGAATCCGAGAAACACGGTTCGCCCTTGACTCTCTAGACGATCAGACCTGTCTGCAGCGATTTAGTTTTAGCAAGGCGGACATCTATAGGATCGTGGCCAAGCTTGGGTGGCCTGAAGAGCGCAACGTCACAGCTCGCCGCCGCTACCGGACAACTGACGTTTTTTCCTTTTGCGTCCTTGCTCGACGCCTTGGCAACATTTGTCGCTGGTCAGATCTAGAGTTTGAGTTCGGACGGCCCGCCTGTGATCTCTCAGAGATCTTCTATGAGGCCTTGGAATTTATGTTCGAGTCCTTTGGTCCCCTGGTTACATCTTTTAGGTCTACTTTTCTCCAGCAGCGAGCGCCTATGTACGCCGAAGCAATTCATGGGGCAGGTGCGGCTTTGGACTCAGCTGTAGGCTTCATAGACGGCACTAATCTGTACATCGCACGCCCCGCTGGCCTCCGTCAGCGCTCAACGTACAACGGACACAAACGTCGCAACTGCTTGAAGATGCAGGCCGTGAGCACGCCTGATGGGCTGGTTTATCACATGTTTGGTCCTGAAGAAGGACGTAGACATGATATGACGCTGTTTCGGCGCTCTGGAATAGAGGAACACCTTGCTAGCTCCTTGTTAGTAGGCAGGCGGCAGTTCTACATATATGGCGACCCAGCCTACGTGCTGCGGCCATATCTACAGGTGGGGTTCAAAGGGTCGGTGCTTAGTGATGAGCAGAAGGCATTTAACAAGAGCATGTCGCTGGTTCGGGTTTCTGTTGAGTGGGCGTTTAAGGACTTGAAGAAGTACTTTACCCACGTCGATTCAAGCCGGAAGATGGTGCTGCAGAAGGTTCCAGTGGCAAAGTGGTACCTTGTTTCCGCAGTACTGTGGAACTTTCGCGCGTGCATGTACGGATCGCAGAGCGCCACCTTCTTTAATTGCTCTGCACCCTCGTTTGAGGACTACATATCCTCTGTGTAAGGGGCGGTTGTGAGCGCATCCAGAGGCCTGTAGATTGCCTTAAACTGCAAAAATGCCCATCAAAAGCCCCTGGCGCGGCGCTTCGCGCCATCGCGAGCTCGGATACCCTTGCGAAAATTGTTCTCACTCCTCGTTCCCACTGCCATCCCCGCCTCTAGCAAACTTTACTGGCCCTTCCCACTACTGCCCTTGTCCGCAAACTTCGACAAAAAGTCCAACATACCCGCCTGGATGCGGAGCTGCATCCGTCGCTCCTCAGCTTGGTCCCGGTCGCGCTTTGTGTCATTAGCAGCGCGCTGCTCCTCCAAAGCCATACGTCGCAGGTTTAACGCATGAGTAGCCTCTGCGGTCTTCGCTTCCCGATCCAGGCGGCGCTCGTCGATTTCGAGCCGCCGATTCTCCCGCGCCGCAGACGACATCAGTGCTTCTGTACGAGCTCGTTCTCCGCTCTCAAGTGCCTCTATAGCAGCGCCGAAGTTCTTTGTGCGCTCCGATCCGCCGATGCGCCGCTTTTTGGAAGGCGTTTCTGCGGGGCTCTCATCATTAGAGTCCGTTCCAGCGTTCCTAGCAGCGTAGCGGTTTAGCGCCATTTCACGTACTGCAGCACCTGCCCCTAAAAGTTTCTCAGCCCTATCTTCTTTCTCCCGAAGCGCATCCTCTATGGCGACCTTATGGGCATCCATTTCTTCCGTGATGTCAGTACACAACTGCTCAAACGCACCGAATTCCTCCTCACAACCCGACGCAGCGGCTTGCACCCTGTCTTGCGTCTTCCATTTATCCATCAAAAGCTTGAAACGGTCCCTGCAGTGCTTGCCGTTCGTTATCCAGGGCAGGGAAAGGTGCGTGTTGGCGTTGAGCTTCTCGGCAACCGCGGCAAACTTTGTTAGTACCTCACACTTACCCGGGACATGAGCTCCGCAAGCCATGACCTCTTGCATCAAGGGGACGTTATGCTCCTCCTTCCAGATGCGACGAATCCTCGGAACAGTATCCCGGCGAGCCACGGGCGGCACCGGCGCAACTACGCTTGTTGAAATGAGAGGTGTGGCTGTCGGCTGTGCTGCTGGAGTGTCTTC